GGACAATTTAGAGATAAGATAAGGATAAAATAGAATAGTAATAAAAATAAATATATAGAATTAAAGACACTAAAGAAGAAAAAAAAAAGAATTAGAAAATAGAGGTATTATAGTCTCTATATACTTACTAACTAATAATAAATTAACTAGATTAACTGGATTAATTATAAACTAAGAAAATAAAAAAAGATTAACTACTAGTTTAATAAATAAGAACTAATATAAAACTAAACTACTTTTAAGAGAGTAACTATAAAGAAACTAAAAAAGTACTATTATATAATATTTATATTAAAATAAAGTAACTAATAAAAAGTATAATATATAGTATAGTTAGTATAAATAATAAATACTTAAAAACTATATTCTTATATATAGTAAATATAAAGAGTACTTTAAGTATAAATTAAATATTTATAAAAATATATAAATAGTTACATTTGTTTATAGCCCCTATATAGAGTCTACTAGCTATCCCCCCTTATTTTTATACTTTATACTTATTCTATACTTTATAATAAAAGAATAAAAAAAGATAGCTAAGAATACTTTAACTCTAATATAGTCTATATAACTAAAGAAAATAGTAATAATAAAGTAGATAATTATAAAGAAAAAAGAGAAAAAGTAATAGAGAAAAGAATATACTCTTAAGGATTGAAAGAGAGGCCTATACTAGACTCTACTAGGAACTAATATAGGCTTAACTATTTAGAGCTATAATAACGGTTTTTCTCTAAGGACTTTAGTTTTTTTTTTCTATTAATATTATAAAGATACTAAATAAATAGACTAGTCTAATTCGAGTAATATAATTAATTAATTAATATTAATACTATTAACTACTTTAAACTTTTTTTAATATAGAATGCATTAAAAAGAGTTTTATAAATAGACTTTAGTTTAATTAAGAGTCTTATAACTCTTTTATTATAATTATACTAATATTTTTACTTTTATTAATATTTATTTATTATTAAGTATTTTAACTTTATTTATATTTTAAGTTTTAATTTAAATTATACTACTCTATATTTTCTCTTTCTCTAATTATAGTATTATAAACCTTAATACTATTTAAATTACCTCTAAAAATTATATTTCCTTTTTAAGTTATAGAGAGCTTATACTCTCTATATATACTAGAATAGTTATATTAATAGTTTATACTCTAATATAGACTATTGTTTAATTTTATCTATTTACTTTAGTAGAGACTAGTTATTATAGCTAAAGACTTATTATCTATTATTTAAGTTAGTAACTATATATTAATAGTTAATAGTATACTTATATTAATACGTATATAAATATATTACATAGAAAATAGAACTATTACTACTAGTAGTCTTAGTAGCTATAAATAAGGTTAACTTTAAAGATAAAACTTATAACTTTATAATAGTAGATAAAAGTTTTACTCTCTATAGGATTATTTATACTAAGGCCTTCTAGTAAAACTTAACACTTGTCTTTTTAAACTTTTTACTTATTTATATTCTTATAATTAGTATTATTAGTATTATTAGTATTATTAGTATTATTAGTATTATTAGTATTATTAGTATTATTAGTATTATTAGTATTATTAGTATTATTAGTATTATTAGTATTATTAGTATTATTAGTATTATTAGTATTATTAGTATTATTAGTATTATTAGTATTATTAGTATTATTAGTATTATTAGTATTATTAGTATTATTAGTATTATTAGTATTATTAGTATTATTAGTATTATTAGTATTATTAGTATTATTAGTATTATTAGTATTATTAGTATTATTAGTATTATTAGTATTATTAGTATTATTAGTATTATTAGTATTATTAGTATTATTAGTATTATTAGTATTATTAGTATTATTAGTATTATTAGTATTATTAGTATTATTAGTATTATTAGTATTATTAGTATTATTAGTATTATTAGTATTATTAGTATTATTAGTATTATTAGTATTATTAGTATTATTAGTATTATTAGTATTATTAGTATTATTAGTATTATTAGTATTATTAGTATTATTAGTATTATTTCTTATTTTATATTTATATTTTTAATTTATTAATTAAGATTCTTTTTTATTAATTCTTTTTAATTCTTTTTATTAATATATATACTTTATATTATATTTCTTTTATTATTATACTTTTCTTCTTATATAATAGTACTTTAGTCTTTTTTAACTATATTAGTTAACTACTACCTGAAAGAAAAGCTCAGAGTTATCAACCTACGTTATAGAAGCTGCCTACTCGTTAGAGCTAGGGTTGTTGCTATCTTGGGCGGATCCAGCCTGCATTCAGTGCCAGCTGCAAATTTCCATTATCGCCGCCGTTGCCATCATTCTGGTTGCCCTCCCCTCCGTCTGGCGACCACCGCCGTTGCTGTTCTGACGACGCTCAAGGGTGGCGCGAATGGCCGATCAGTGCATCTAGATAAAGCGACTTGAACGTGGACTAGACAATAGAGGTGTTGTTGTAAAGCAAACTGAAAGAAATAGCCGCAGCAAGTCACAACCTATGGTGCCAGACCGAAGATGATTGTAAAAGAGGGTGAAGTTGATCCTCGTCGTCGTCGTTGTTGAGGGCAGAAAGTGCAAACGAAATGCGAGACAGAAAGCAGCCCTACGCGCTTAAGGAGAAAGGATAGGTATACGGCCAGCCGTTTGAGAAAGAGAGGAGAAAAAAAGGAAGAGACGGAACGAGCGCAGAGGGTCAGGAGGGGGATATCTTTAAAAGTATAGGAGTCGGAAGGACGAGAGGGGCGGGTCAGAGGAGAATGCTAAGATCACACCTTTAAGATCCTGACAGGAAGAGACAACCCCCTTTAGGGGCGTCAACAAGGTAAAGAGAGGCTAACAAGGGACGAGACGGAATCTCGGCTCAGCAGGGCGGTGGCGGGACGGCCTCAGGTCCCGGGAGGGCGACAGCCTGCATGAGGGTGCCACCCGAGGGGGAGTTATCGAACGACTCGTCATGGACGGTTTTAAGGTGTATACCACGAGAATGAAGGGGGGGAGAACATTGTTTGGAATTGAGCTGTTTGATTTGAGAGCAGCGCTGTTGGCGGCTTGGCCTCACCATAAAGCTCAATCAAGCTAGAAAGTGCCTTACAACGGACAATCCATTTAGCTCTTAGGCTGGTTGCAAGATACGATATGAGTAACAAAATATGTACTTATAGAACTTCTTTAATCCATGCCTTTAACCTCTTACCCTGCTCTGTTTCTTTCCTAACGCCAGCAAAGATATGATACACAGGGGCAACGTGACCTTCCTGCTTACCAACAAATAACTCAATAGAGGGAAAGAAAGGCTGACTAGTTAGCATTATCCAGTTTTGCTGTGGGCGAAACTCACCGTCACCCTTTCCACAAATGCGTCCATGAGAGGCTTAAATACCTCATGTCCTCCTGCTAAGACCAAGATCTTTCTAACTGGTAGCTTTTGAAACCAGCTTGGTGGCGCCTCAATTGGATCCGTATAGGAGTCTCTCTTGCTTTCGCCAAAATAATTTGGCAGCCACTTTATAATCTCTCTTGGCATAACGATGTCACCACCAGTGTAAATAGACGGTTCTTCTGCTAGACTAGCATCCATAGAAGCCGGGAATGCAAGAAGGACGGCACCTGCAAGTGGTTCTGCCAGTTTCAACGGAGCAATAGCAGGGTGTGGATGAGTAAGGTGCAGAAGTACACCCATGGTAAGGTTGGCACCCGCTGAATCGCCCCCAATCAAGACGGACCTCGGCGCCTTTTGCAATGTAATGTATCGCAGTGCTTCAACAGCTTGAGTGAGCTGGGTTGGGTACTTTGCCTCGGGGGCCAAAGTATATGATAACGCAAAAATTGCTAGACTTTTGCCTTGAGCCTGCGCGGAAGCAATCAGACCCTCCCAGAATTCAAAGAAAGCTGGGACAGCTGGCATGACAAAGCCTCCACCTAGAGAATACAATAATTAGTAGGTGAATGACATTAGATCATGATTAGGAGCTTACCGTGATACCAGATAAGCACATTTTCAGAATTCTGGTCTCCAACCCAGTGGCCTTTTGCTCCAGCCACTAAATCCACTGACTTTGGCTTTTCTCCTCTTGAATGTGTATACTGCTTATACACTTGATCTGTTGATGGCAGTACCCATCTATTAGATTGGTTAGTATTAGCTGCTTTCAGTATAGAAGTATAGAACCTACTGCATTTGGGCAACAGAGTAGCGCGCCGTAGTCTGGCGCATAATTGCATATGCAATGTGTAAATAGTATGTTGGCGCATCTCTCTCACTCCGCCATAATCCTGTAAATACTGCGGTTAGGCCTGCTGCGAGAATACTGAAAACTCCCAACAAAATATCGAGTTTCCCTAAAAGGGATAGTTGTTGTTGAGGCATGATCGCAAAAGACACCTTATGTACTCTGTATAGTTTGCTCTAGCGCGGTGCTTATTATCAGGGTAGGGTGGCGCATTGATTTCTGTCTGTAAAATAGACTGATGAAATCCATTTGCTTGGTAAATCGGGTTATTTATAAATCCTGGAAGCTAAAAGTAGTTACACTAAACCTAGTGTCTGCCCTGCCTCGGCTCCGGGTCCGGCTGCTAGGCTGCCCGGTTTTCCGGCTCCGGGTCCGTCTGCTAAGCTGCCTGGTTTTCCGGCTCCGTTTCTCCGCTTGACCAACTTCCATGAAACTCCCCCACACTGGGGTCGGAAAGAGAACTGGTTTATAGTGTCCTCTCTCATTGCACAGTGCTGATACATCGGCCGATAACCTCGGCGCGCTACCAACTGTGGCCAAATCTGTTTTAACATAATCATAGAAGGTGGATGGATTCTAGCTGAATCTGCTAACGTAATCACGGGAGATGGAGTTGTGTAACTTTTAAAAGGTGGAAAAGCGGCCTTCACTCTGCTCAAGTCCTCGAAGTTGCTACTCGCTCCCTTTCTTTACCCAAATTATCACCAACGAGCCCTGCTACATATCGATACTATACCAACCATGGCAGAGCAAATGAATGCCTGGCAACTTGACACCCCGGGCAATATTCAGGAAACACTCAAGCTAAACCAGAGCGCTGCCAGGCCGACTGCTAAGGACCTCAAGGGGCAAGAGATTCTAGTTCAGGTCAGCAGTGCCTCCATTAACCCTGCCGACTATAAGGGCATGCAACTGGGCTTTATCGTTCGGACTGTGATCTCATTCCCCAAGACTCTCGGCATGGACCTTAGTGGAAAAGTGCTAGCCGTCGGCCCTGCTGTGACGGATATTCTTGTTGGCGACCACGTCCTGGGGCGTCTCAACCCGCTCAAGGCGTCAGGCGCCCTGGCTGAATACGCTATTCTTGAGCGCGATGGCTATGCTAAGATCAACCGTGACGTTGACTTGGATCAGGCCGCCGGGGCTGGCACTGCAGCACTAACCGCCTATCAGTGCATCAAGCCATTCGTCAAGGCTGGTGATAAGATCTTTATCAACGGCGGCTCTGGCGGCACTGGCACATTTGGCATTCAGATTGCCAAGATTCTCGGTTGCCATGTTACGGTAACATGCTCTACAGCCAAAGCTGCGCTATGCAAGGAGCTCGGCGCCGACGAAATCATCGACTACAAGACGACGGATATACTCAGCGCGCTGCAGAAGGCGGGCCCGATTTATAGCGTCTTTATAGACAATGTCGGTGCTGTTAGCAAACTATTTCCCAAGTCTTCCTCTTTTCTACTACCTACGGCGCCATTCCTATCTGTCAGCAGCGGCGGCTCGCTTGGTCATGTGGTTGAGGTTTTCAGCGCCTATCTCAGACCATCTTTCTTGGGGGGCGGCAAGAACAGATTCATGCGTTACTGGGCCCAGAACAGCCGCAACGATTTTCAACAACTTGCTGAGTGGTACAATAAGAAAAGCCTTATATCAGTCATTGATTCTACATACGAGCTTGGCGATGTACTAGCTGCATTTGAACAGCTTAAACGGGGGTCCTCTATAGGTAAAATTATTATCCATATTACTCCGAGACTTTAGTGGGAGTTGAGTAAAAAAGAAAATAGAGAGTTAGCACAATTATCGTAACTTGACATCTTCAGTTGAGTATAGTGTAACTTGTTGATCTTATTTTGATTAGAGAGGGGTTTGCAGGTCGCAGCCCCGAGAAAGGGTGCCCGCGAATAAGCCCCGACCGCCTTCACCTGTCTACACCGAGCGACTGCACCAGTATCTGGCGTAGACAATCATCATGATCGCCCACGGTATGTAGGTGACGGCCAAGACTTGGTCAAGTCGGTCAGGTATGGGCTCCATCTCGGCACTATTTCTATTGGGCCTTCCCCGCCCATCTACTGTAACTTGTAAGCGACAAGCAGCCACCCACTGCACATGGCAGTATCTGGCTCAGACAATTATGATCGCTAGGTATCGCCGGTGGAGAAGAAAGACAAAATGCCGAGAACGACGGCTCGCTTAACAAGATATGAGGTGATGGTATTGACAATGATGGCCATAATGGGCTGGTGCTGCGATTGTTCGCATCGGCCTTGGTTACTAGGTATCAGGCTAGCCGCAAATACATGAACAACTCGTCATCGGGTTCCAGCATCCATTTCGGGCGTGCAGAGCGATTGCCGCATCACAATCCCGAAAGCGGATAGCATGTGAGGCGGCCGTCTGTTGCACCGGGCGAAGCTGCCCTGCACATGATGCGCAATGGGGAACCCCGGGTGACGGTTGAATGGCCGTGGAATGACCGTAGAATGACCGCATTCCCCGTTTTACATGGATGCACCTCGAAATGCTCCACCTGGGCCTGGAATTGACAGACCCCTGATTTGGCGACGCCTTGGCTGGCGGAACTGGCGTGGGGTGCCGACTTGCTGTTATCCTATGGTGAATGATTTCGACATGTCTAATAAATGACGTTCAGCACAACATCGTGAATGCTGCTAGGTGGATATTCGCGAACGTTTTTTTGCCTGTAAAGTATGGTATTCTCCCTATGTAGCAATTTCACCATGAAATATAAAATCACAACGAATAGGAGCTATGCACCCGACTACAGGAAGCCCTGGCAAAGCACGCGATTGTAGAGCATACTGTAGCTATGTAGCACGTCTCTTGGCTTACACTAGAGCTACACCATGGATGTTAAATAAAAACGAAAAAAAAAAAAAAAAAGGCGCCAGGCAGCTACATCAACCGATCCATATCGTCCATCGATATGGCCCCGACCATGGATTGGTCAATTATGTAATGAATCAAGCCGTGGATTGATGTTAACGCCAACACACGTCAATATGTTGATCAATCAGTGGATTTCGTGGATTGATTCCTCACCCTGGTCAAGCTCAAGTTGCTGGTTCTCACAGTTAAGTTTCAAGACCTCTGCGGGCATCAGTGACTTGTGATGTAGTTTTCTAATTACACTATTACATTGGCCACAATCAATGAGAGGCAGTAATTTACCTCGTCTTGTTTCGAAAACAAGCCAATCGATATTGACACAGCTTACTTTAAACTTGGGCGGCCTATGTCTCGCTTTACTTGGCGCAGGCATGCCACCCTCGCTTGGTAGATGGTGCGGCCCAGGCGGCAACTCGTGATCAGTCAATGTGCTAGCTCCGGAGAAATCAAACAGAGAGGGAAGCCGACAAAAGTGTGAAAAAGGGAAAAGCGAAGAAAAAAAAAACCCCCGGCTCCTTCTGGTCGCCTACCCGACATCACCTGCATCTCCATGGGGTTGTACAACGTTCATAGTAGCTGTTGACGTGATCACAGTCTACGACCCCTCAAGGCGGAATGTCCAGCTACGGTCGCAGAGTAGTAGCTGTCGCGGTCGGCAGCAACGAAAGGCGACGGCAAGAAAATGCAATGTCAGTTACCCTGCTAAAGAGGATTCTCGTGACAGGTTTAAGTTCTCACAAGATATAAACAAAGTGGAGCATAAACGAGTCTGCACGCTAATTCTTCCGAACTTCAAGGGATCGAAGAAGCTCAGACCATCCCCTAACTAAGTTAGTACAAGGCTAGCTAGCTAAGCGCCGTTGGGTTTCGGCTCAATATAAATGCTCTTGCCCGCTGACGAAGCGGCCAAGGTGGGGAGCGCTACAAAAGGGGATTGATCTAGCTAATAATAAGGCAGGGGCACGGGGCTCTCGAGCGGAGGCTGGGTGGCCAGGAGCCTACAGTAGAGCAGCCCGCAGAACAAGTATCATGTTTACCTGGCCTGGCTGCGACCACCGCAAGTCTTTCTGCACGAGGCCATGATCAAGGCCCGAGGTAGTCTTCATTACGACAATCACCGCACACGAGCGGCACTGGCAATAGTCTAAATGCCGGTGCCTCACCTCACACCACCGCGTCGTAGCCTGGTCCAGGTACGGATAAAGAAGCGGGATCGCCTAAACAGGCAACTTCAATAAAGCTAAAATAAACCTCGGCATGGTAAGTGGCCAGCTGTTGAAAAAAAAAAATACAAGATAAGATGTAAGCTAAGATATTGAATAGCTACTATTCAATAGTACTATTGGTTCAGAGTAAAGAATTTTTAAAATTTCTATAGTATTTTGACTACATTTCAGTCATACTCCTCATCCTCAGTACGGTAGCGCCGGCTTTTAAAGTTACCCCGCGACAAGTCGGCTTCCAAGTTACGATACCTCTCTACCGGCCCGGAAAATCAAACCTTCCCGGTTGTATACCGGACAGATGAGGCTACTGGATGAATTTCACCGGTTTAGTTTGTTCGCCAGGCTGATCACTCGGCGATTTTCCAGATATCCATGACCGCCGTGGCTCTTAAATAAAGTCGTCTGGCCGCTGCGCTTCATCAGACACCTATACAAGTATCTCCTGCAGAAACCATACTATCTATATTTGCTTCGCGCTTATTCAAGACCTACATCATGGAAGACATCACCGAACACCATGACATTGTCATCATTGGCGCCGGCTTGTCCGGCATCAACGCGGCCCATGGTCTCCAGGACCAGCTTCCGCATCGCAAACTTACTATTCTAGAAGGCCGCGACGTCATTGGCGGTACCTGGAGCTTCTTCAAGTATCCCGGGTTCCGCTGCGACTCAATGATGACCAACTTTGGCTTTAAGTGGTACCCCTGGCCGCACGAGAACAAGATCGCCCGCGGGCCCCAAATCCTCGAGTACCTCAAGAGCGCGGCCACCGCGAGCGGAATCATGGACAGCATCCGCCTATCTCACCGCGTGACCCGCCTCGAGTGGCGCGAGGATCCCGGCGTCTGGAGAGTGACCGTTAGCCACGACGGCGTGGAAACCGTGCACAGCGCCAACTTTGTCTTTTCCTGCACCGGCTACTACTCCTACAGGAAGGCACAGGATGCTGTGATACCCGGCATCGAAAACTTCAAGGGAACCACCGTCCATCCACAGTGGTGGCCTGAGGACCTAGACTATGAAGGCAAACGCGTCATCGTCATTGGCTCCGGGGCAACGACCGTCACACTCATCCCTTCTATGGCGCCCAAGGTGGCGCACATCACCATGCTACAGCGTAGCCCGACGTATATGGCTTCGCTGCCGGCCAAGAGGACGGCGACTGACAATCTGATTCGGTTCCTCTTCGCTGCTAGCTTCGCAAGTTGGCTTAGCTGGTGGAAGGACATGTTCTTCGAGTGTCTGTTCACAATCTTCTTGCTCAACTTCCCTAACGTTTCACGAAAGTTGCTTATGGGCAGAGTGGCGAAGCAAGTACCCAAAGACATAGACGTCAGCGTTCACTTCAACCCGCGCTACCGCATCCGCACACAGCGCATCTGCCTCGCCCCAGACGGCGACTTTTTCCAGGCCCTGCACCGGGACAACGTGCAGATCGTCACCGGCGTCATCGACCAGGTGACCAGCAGCGGTATCCGTCTCAAGTCCGGCCAGGAGATTGCCGCCGACATCATTGTCACGGCCACGGGTCTCCATGTCCAGGTGATTGATGGCATGCAGCCCATTGTCGACGGCAAGACCCTCGACGTCGGCTCACAATACACATGGCGTGGATGCATGCTCGAGTCAACGCCGAATATGGGTTTCGTCCTAGGGTATCCGGTGCAGTCGTGGACGCCGGGGGCTGACCTCACGACTCAGATGATAGTTCGCGTCATTAAGTCCATGGAGAGAAAGGGGGCCACAAAAGTGGTCCCTGTGATACAGCGATACAAGGGAATGCCCGAGCAGCCGTCTCTCGCCAACGTCACGAGCAACTATTTCGTCAACGCGCTGCCGAGAATACCGAAAGCTACGGGTGAAAGCCCTTGGTATGGCAGGACGCACTGGGTGCGCGATAAGTGGTTGTCATTAAGTAGTATAGAGGAGGGCCTATTATTTTCTAGAACTGGAAAAAAGGCAGCTTCGTTGTCAAAAAATGCGGCTAGCACGAAGAAGGTGGAAGGAGAGATAACAAGAAGGTCGCAATATATAGCTAGAAAATAGCAAATAGTTCCCATAATGACTGTATTGATCACTGGGGAAGAGAATTCCCCCCCAGTGGCTCTTCGCTGCGTTTTCGCCTTTATATAGCTGCTCTTTCGCACGTCACTAATAATCGGTCGTGACATTCGTGATGCCTACTGAGCATGACAAGGTGCTATGCATGCTCGGTGGGAGACTCGACTTCCGAGTGTCACTGCGAAAGGTACCGGCGACATCTTATATAGAGCATAAGGACCCGAATGCCATAGCAAATTGCTAACGACATTTTCTAGAAATAGGAGCAGCTAAATCCTGTATTTTGCTAAGAAGTAAAGAAAAATCATAAACAGCTCATCTTTCACCTGCATTAACTATGATATTTAGCTTCCTAAGCCTCTAATTCTACTAAGAGAGAGCACAACAGAAGAGTCACCAAGTGTATATGGCCTTAAAAAGTAACCAGTAATTTGAATAGATATATAGATATAACCCACGAACACTAAGCACTACGAACCATAGTTATTATAGTCTAAAAAGCTAGCTAGGGTTA